GTTTAAAGGCTAAATTCAACTTTGTTTTACCTGGTAGTTTCAGAGAGAACAGAATTAAATTGCTCCAATTGAATGCTTTTCTATGCGACTGCTATCAGTTGCCTTAGTCTTAAAATGTTTGGATTACAAGTCAACAAAGTATTGGAGGTGGAAAAATATATATGATTTACACGGAAAGGCTTCCGGAAGATTACAGAGAACTCTTGACAGCAAAAGTATAGCAGTCCTTTGATGCTTAATAAGAATCTGCAAATAGAGGTTGGCATACTGTCATTTATCAAGCAAATAGTTGAAGCTGACATTTACTTAATGAAGAGAGATAGTAATCTGTGAGATGAGGAGAGCAGATCCAGAACCCGCTCTTGTTTCCTTCAATGCATGATTAACCTTTGCCGATCGAATGGGGTTTGTTGAATATGCTGATGAAATTAGCCCCTCGGTTGCGTTTGGGTGGTGTTTGTACCCAGGTTTTCTGAGTCAGGCACGGCTCTGAGCAGATGGTGGTCCGAGGAGCACAGAAGGCTCGCTTGATATTCATCAGGAGAGCTGACCTCTGCCACCCAGCAAACTTCACTCTGTGTTCCCCTCTGCATAATGCGTGGATGCAAAAAAAAAACAACCAAAAAACACACACACACACACAAGGCAGCTCAATTTCATCTGCACACTTTTGTTTGGATAAATTCACAAAAATGTTGGAAAAATATAAGGTACATCTTTATGATTCTTTGAAGAAACAACGCAGATGCTGACAGCTGCTTGAAGAACGGGTTTCAGGATCAGTCAACAAAGTTCACCATTATTTATTAAAAGAAAATGTACACCCACGCTCAACTAGTAGACTCTTTCTCAAGTAAAAACTAAGAAAGTATTTGCTGTCACTTTCTTTTATTTGTTGGCCTAGATAGACCTTTGTTAGAATTAGAATTCCATGAATTCCCCCTTTTCTAACCCCACTGACTCGTCTGGAAGTCACTCACCAGGCTTCAAAGTTGAATGTTCAAGGTTTTTTAAACCATGCTCACAGACTCAGAAAAATCTTTTCACAAGAGCCTATTGTGTTATTCTGTGGAAATGTGCACACAACAAAGTTCACATTTGGAAACTGGAGATGTGGCTACCAAATAAATATCTTGTTTAATTCCAATTTATTTTTCTCGTTTTGTTCAATTCTAGCTTGAACGCTGACATTCCACTTCTTGTGAGTTTTGTATGAAATGTTTTTGTTTATCTTGTTTTTGTTTTGTTATTTGGCTTATTAGATTTTCACCATTTATCTTTAAAAGTGGTTAATGGAAAGGCATCAAGGCTGAGTTTGCATGCTAATTGCTTCGCTCTTTTTCCATGTTTTTGAGTCAAACTGGAGTCAAACTTCACGCTTAATTTAAAGAAAACCAAGTGCTCGAGGCAGCGACTTTTCTGTTTGACATAGAAAACAGTTGATTACTTTATGCGTAATTAGGGATTTTCTAAATTGAAAGGTACACACAGTCTGTCTGGTAAACCGTAGTTCTTAGGATGACTGCGTTTCTATTGAACATCGCTTCACTTGCTGTTACTGAGACACCCACGTTGTGTTTACATGAACAGGCTCCTGAACTGCAGATAATGAAGATCCAATTAAATTTTCTATCATATAATGTTTTCCTGAGGAAAACAAGGACGACACACACCAATAAATCCTCATGCACCCTTGGACATGCTTGTAACAGAACAAACCCAAATGAATCTCTTCTGCAGTGAGCCTTTTTGTTCTATTACACACACACACACACACACACACACACACACACACACACACACACACA